GGCGCGCTGCCGGCCCTCAACACAAGGAACACAGGTAGGGGCAGGCCCCGGAGGAAGGGGAGGGAGGGACGGGGGGAGACCTGAGACAAGGACACGGGAGGCCATACCTCGGAGACGAGGCAGGGAGGGGTGACCAAGACGGTGGTGCCAAAGAAGAGTCTCGTGTGACAGAGGACGACACGAGCAGGGGGCAGACGCCGGACTAGACCTGGACGCAGCCGCAAACACCTGACCAGACGCGGCTACCTGACCAGACGCAGTGACAGGAGGAGACACAGTAGTCAGTGTGTAGAGGCTCGACCCAGGCCGACGGGTGAACGTGGCCAGGTGGCGGCCTGTCCGAGAGCAAGTACAGTGGGTCACACGCTGACCTCCCGGGGTGAACTGGTCAACCCACACGTCCTGGAGGTCAGCTCCACTCACCAAGTTCGTAGAAAACGAGGGGAGGTGGAGTCCCGACAGTAAGCCCGACGGGGCCGCAGGACACGGCAGGACCGTGGAGGAGTGCGCAAGGACGGGGCCCCCAGAGGGGTCCGCCAGGGAGACTGCAACTGGCCGACTGAGCGGCGTGAGTGTGGTGCTGTCGCGAAAGAAGGAGCGGGAAGCACCTGAGTCAAGTGTGAAGGTGTGCAAGACCTCAGCAGGCGCAGTACCAGAGAGAGCAGACTCACCAGCACCTGGAGCAGCAGACTCACTAGCACCTAGAGCAGCAGCCTCGCCAGCACCTAGAGCAGCAGACTCTATACCTGGGTCAGGCGGGACACACAGGTAACAGGCGCCCTCAGCACTAGTAGACAATGCATACATGGCAGTGAGGATAGCATCATAGTCAAGAGCAAAGATATCCACCCGCTGCCTAAGCAGCTCCACCCAGTCGGGGAGCTCAGCCTCGTCGCCAAACCCGGTACACCAGGCGTCACTCAGACAGGCGAAGCAACGGGACTGTGTGTGACCAATCGTCCCACAAGTCTGACCAGCCCGATCACCTGTGCGAATGACGTACGGGCAGCGAACGGTACTCTGAGACCCTCTACTCTGAGCGTACCACTCACGAAGCTGCTGGGGCGTAAGGGTCTCGCGCGGACGCCGCTGCAGCTGCATCTGGCCACTGCCAGAAGCACCCGACTGACCAGCTCCAGGGCGACTGCCACTACGGCGGCCGCCACAACCCCAACTAGTGTACCACTCACGAAGCTGCTGGGGCGTGAGGGACTCGCGCGGACGTCGCTGGAGCTGCATCTGGCCACCGCCAGTAGCAGCAGTAGCAGCAGTAGCAGCAGTAACAGTTGTAGCAGCAGTAGTAGCTCCTAGGGCAGCAGCACCTAGGGCTCCTCTTTTTTTTTTTAATTATTTATTTATTTTAGGGTTTGGCAGGGCGCGCTGGGCGCTGCAGAGGCGGCTCGCGGGCTGCAGGGGTGGCTCGCGGGCTGCAGGGGCAGGGCGCGGGCGGCTTGCACGGGGCGGCGCGCGTGCCCTAGGGCGACGCGACGGGCAGGGCAGGGTGGCGCGGTGGCCCAAGGGTGATGCGACGGGCAGGGCAGGGGCGGCGCGCGGGCCCTAGGGCGACGCGACGGGCAGGGCAGGGGCGGCGCCCAGGCCCTAGGGTGACGCGACGGGCAGGGCAGGGCGGCGCGGTGGCCCTAGGGTGACGCGACGGGCAGGGCAGGGGCGGCGCGCGGGCCCTAGGGCGACGCGACGGGCAGGGCAGGGGTGGCGCGCGTGCCCTAGGGTGACGCGAAGGGCAGGGCAGGGGCGACGCGCTTACCAGGAGCGGGTGCAGGGCAGGGCCGCAACGGGGCGGCTGTAGGGCAGGGCCGTGACGAGGCGACGGCAGAGCAGGGCCGCGACGGGGCGGCAGCAGGGCAGGGCCGCGACAAGGCGGCTGCAGGGCAGGGCCGCGACGGATGGCGGCAGGGCAGGGCCGCGACGGGCGGCGAGGTCAGGGCCGCAACGGGGGGCGGCAGGGCAGGGCCGCGAAGGGCGGCTAGGTCAGGGCCGCGACGGGCCGTTAGGGCAGGGTCGCGACGGGCCGGTAGGGCAGGGCCGCTACGGGCGGCAGTAGGGCAGGGCGCGCGACGGCGCAGGTGAGGCAGGCGCGAGGCGCGCTTCGAGCAGGGCAGGAAAACGATCGTGGTGGGCCCTTAAAAAAAACCGTTCCCACTAGGGAACCTGCTCTGAAACCATGTCAGAATAGTGAAGGAAGGAATGATTGATTGAGCAAGCAGTTGGGTACAAGTAGGAAACCTAGAAGTGTTGTACCCTATATGAACTACCCCACTACAGTCTACACAGACTATAGCATATAACTTTGACACTAATAGCCATCCAAAACAGTTCTGGTAGATACTTTAGGTGTCGTTTCACCTTAAGACTGGTAGGAGGATGCGTGACTGGCGGGAGAACGTCAAGAACCTAGCCCAGCAAGGAGAGAGCCGGGAAAAAAAAGAAACGCAAACCCTAGGTTAGCAAGTATTTTGTCGCAATCGAAAGCGAACAAGATGTTTCGGAGAATTCTCCACTTTGCAGGAGTAGCGCAGTCGGTCGAGAATAAAATTGGAATTGAGAGGTCACGGGTTCGAGACCTGCAGGTTTGTTTTGCAAACCTCAACTAAATTCCGTGAGATTCGTACTCGGTATAAAAAGGACCTATATAATACAGTAAAAAGGAACTTCAAAACAAGATCCATACTTAGTATACCAAGTTGTACAAAATATCATATTTATGCAAAACGCTTCTCAACCCTAAGACGATTTCGTCGCCTCTTGTTTTTTTTTTTTTTTTTTTTTTTTTTTTTTTTTTTTTAGGAATTAGGGTTGCGCGCGGCCCACGGGCTGCAGGGGCGACGAGCGGCTCGGCAGGGCGGCGCGCGGGATGCAGGGGCAGCGCCCACGGGCTGCAGGGGCGACGCGCAGCTCGGCAGGGCGGCGCGCGGGCTGTAGGGGTGGCGCGCGGCTCGGCAGGGCGGCGCCCAGGCTGCAGGGGGCGACGCTCGGCTCGGCAGGGCGGCGCGCGGGCTGCAGGGGCAGCGCCCACGGGCTGCAGGGGCGACGTGCGGCTCCGCAGGGCGGCGTACGGGCTGCAGGGGCGACGCGCGGCTCTGCAGGGCGGCGTACGGGCTGCAGGGGCAGCGCCCACGGGCTGCAGGGGCAACGCGCGGCTCGGCAGGGCGGCGCGCGGGCTGCAGGGGCAGCGCCCACGGGCTGCAGGGGCGACGCGCGGCTCTGCAGGGCGGCGTACGGGCTGCAGGGGCAGCGCCCACGGGCTGCAGGGGCAGCGCCCACGGGCTGCAGGGGCAACGCGCGGCTCGGCAGGGCGGCGCGCGGGCTGCAGGGGCAGCTCCCACGGGCTGCAGGGGCGACGCGCGGCTCGGCAGGGCGGAGCGCGGGCTGCACAGGCAGCTCCCACGGGCTGCAGGGGCGAACGCGCGGGCTGCAGGGGCAGCACGCGGGCCACAGGGGCGGGCACGGCTGCAGGGGCAGCACGGTCGCAGGGGCGAGTACGGCTGTAGGGGCAGCACGGTCGCAGGGGCGAGCACGGCTGCAGGGGCAGCGCGGTCGCAGGGGCAGCACGCGGGCTGCAAGGGCAGCGCGGCTGCAGGGGCAGCGTAGGAAGAAAAAAAAATACGGTTAGGGCAGGGCGGAACGTTCGGTGGGCCCTAGGAACGATTCTGCTCTAATACCATGTTAGAATAAGCAGGAATGAATGAGTGAACTAGGCAAGAGGTGAGTACAAGTAGGGGAAACCTAACCCTAAAGTGTTGTACTCACTAAGGAGTGACCCTACTGTAGCCTAGAGATACAATTGTAATTTGACACGGGTCCGTGCGCCCATAACCCCCCAGGCAAACGCGCCTGTAAACCCCCCTAGGATCGATCGGGGATCTCAAAGTGCAGCTCTACTGACACCCCCCCATACTGGGAGGCCCAGGACTGAGCACAGCGGCAACGGCCTACATGTGCATACACTGGGATTCGAACCCGAGACCGCTCTGATACCATGTCAGAATCCCAACCACTAGACCATTGGGATAAAAGGGCTTGTTTGTGTAGCGGGTCCGTGCGCCCATAACCCCCCAGGCAAACGCGCATGTAACCCCCCCTAGGATCGATCGGGGATCTCACAGTGCAGCTCTACTGACAACCACGCCCCTGCTCGGAGGTTGAAAATACGGGTGTACTGTCACCCAGTCAAATGCACACAACTGTACATCTCTTTTTTATCGTAGCCAGTGAAACGTGTCCAACTGAACCTGCCAATCTGTCGCCCTACGTCGCGGTACATTCGATGTTTGTGACACAACATTGGGAAAATTAACAGGCGCGACTCGGGAAAACGGGGATTGAGACACAAGTGTCCCCACAGGAATGTACCCTCAAGCATATGGTACCGTGTATTGCCGCCAGAGCACTCACACAATATAGTACAGTAGCACGAGCATAAGCACTTCAATTAGTAAGCTGACGAGGCTGGCTCGGAATCTGTCGCTGGAGGAATCTGGGTGCTGCAAGATAAATTATGACGCCTGGTAAAGAACCACGCAACCGGTAATACGGTATCGCATGCTCCTCCTGAGTCCTGACATCCGTACTGAGGCAAATTGCCCATGGCAGGAGGAGCCTCCCACCCACCCTCTCATTATTCATCGCAGCCTTGCATTTATCCAGTATACAGGTGCAACTCTACCACTGACTACCACAGCCTAGCTTCCAGCCGGCACAAGTGCCTGTGTTCGTTGCGGGGCAGTGCGGTGCTGGATCATGGGGTTACCGGTACTACCGGCACCGTTACGATAACTAGTGAATTAAGAAGGACGAGATGGATCAAGCTTATGCACCAAAATGGTGGATAAAGCTGTGTGAAGAATGGACGCATCAGGCGGGCACAAGGTAGTAGTACTGCAACACCTTCTCCACTGCTGCTTTGCGCCGCCTCAGGACAGGAGCCCCCGTGTGACTAGAGTCGATTGCTTAGGCGCCTCACAGATTGCATCAGGTGCTCATCAGGCCGGCACCAGGTAATGCCGCAGCACCTTCTCCAGCGCTGCTTTGCTCACTGGCTTGGACATGTAGTCTGGTGGGATGACCAGGGGGAGAGGGGGGAGAAAAGGGGGGAGAGGAGAGACGCATGGGAAGAGGGTAGTGGGTCAACAGGGAGGGGGGAGTGGACAGCAAGATAAGGAGACGGAGTGGGGGTGGATGCATCAGGCGGGCACCAGGTAGTGCCGCAGCACCTTCTCCAGCGCCGCCTTGCTCACTGGCTTCGACATGTAGACTGGTGGGATTACCAGGGGGAGAGAGGGGAGAAAGGGGGGAGGAGGGAGACTAGTGAGGATCTTTTAGATGTCTTAGAAAATGCTGCTTTGCTCACCGGCTTCGATTTGTACCCTGGTGAAATATCAGGGGGAAAGGGGGGAGAAGCATGGGAAGAGAGGAGTGAAAGAAGAAGGGAGGAGAGGGGAGTAGGCAGCAAGACGAGGTGCTTCACTCACCTCTCACGACCTTCACTCACCTCTCAAGTGCTTCACTCACCTGTCAGGCGGCTCAAAAGCAGCCAGAAACCTGTCTCCCACACTGTGCTGCATGCTCTTATAGCCTGTGCATTGTTCGCTCACCTGTCATGCCAGCAGCCAGGCACTGCTCTCGATCGCCTTTTGAGGCGCCTCAAAAGCAGCCAGAAACCTGTCTCCCACACTGTGCTGCATGCTCTTATAGCCTGTGCTTTGTTCGCTCACCTGTCATGCCTGCAGCCAGGCACTGCTCCCGATCGCCTTTCAGTGCATTGGCCGTCTGAACACGCACACGGGGAGTGATTTTAGACAATGCAAGGAAAGGCGAAGGGAAGGGGGGGGGGGAGGGGGTAAGTCCAGCCAACAGACGGCCAATGTGAGATCGATCAGAAAAAGGGATTACAGCTGGAGACAGCAAAACGGGTAGACTAAAGAGGTTAGTCGATTGGAGGCAAGCAACAGAGTGAAAAGAGGGGAGAGCAGAGGGGCGAGCAGAGGGGCGGGCAGAGGGGAGAGCAGAGGGGCGAGCAGAGGGGCGAGCAGAGGGGCGAGCAGAGGGGCGAGCAGAGGGGCGAGCAGAGGGGCGAGCAGAGGGGCGAGCAGAGGGGCGAGCAGAGGGGCGAGCAGAGGGGCGAGCAGAGGGGCGAGCAGAGGGGCGAGCAGAGGGGCGAGCAGAGGGGCGAGCAGAGGGGCGAGCAGAGGGGCGAGCAGAGGGGCGAGCAGAGGGAGGGGCGAGCAGAGGGGCGAGCAGAGGGAGGGGCGAGGAAGCAGCGAGTCGCCCTGCTTGCGCCTGAGCAAGAACTTACGAGCGCCACGATGGTGACTGGGGGTTGCCCCCTCGCCGCCTCCAGCTCCCGGATCTTGCTGCTGGCCGTCCACCCGTCCATCTCCGGCATCTGAGGGCATGGACGAACACAGAAGCAGAGTAGGGAAGTTTACGAGAATGATCCGGGGGGACAGAGGACGCTGATATGCTTGGGGGTGACTTCTGAGTCAACTCCATCTCTCGGATCTTGCTGCCGGCCGTCCACCCGTCCATCTCGGGCATCTGGGGGCAGCAAGGGAGTAGTGGGTAGGGGATCCGAGGGAACAAGGGTTGGGGGACAGACAGAGGACGGCTGATTCTTAGCCGCCTCCAGCTCTCGAATCTTGCTGCTGGCCGTGCACCCGTCCATCTCGGGCATCTGGGAACAGAGGAGCAGGGGGAACCGGGGGCGAACAGGGCACGAGATTGATAAACGGGGGACCAAGGACGCTGATATGCTTGGGTGATCTTTGTGGTGACTCCATCTCTCGGATATTGCTGCCGGCAGTCCACCCGTCCATCTCCGGCATCTGGGGGCATGGAGGAACACAGAAGCAGAGTAGAAAGGTTTAAGAGAGTGATACGGGGGGACCGAGGACGCTGATATGCTTGGGGGTTGACGTTTGAGTGGCCTCCAGCTCTCGGATCTTGCTGCTGGCCGTCCACCCATCCATCTCCGGTATCTGGGAGCACGGACTGAGGAAGAAACAGGTAAGTTTGATTGATAGGGGAGGGGTGAGGACGCTTGGGTGGACTAACAACTGATTCTGCTTGGGTGGAAACGGGAGTCTCCTCCCGTTTGTGGTGTGGAAATATGGGAAGCATGAAGCATGGGAAGCATGGGGCAGGCAGCCCCTGGGAGAAGAAACGCATGAGCAGCGGGGTGTTACAAGGGGATGAACGAATCATCAAGGGCACACGAGGGTGAGAGGAATGAGGGAGACGAAAGGGAGGAATGAGGAATGGTGTAGGAGTGATAAGAAGGCGAGTGGGATAAGAAATAGATCAGAGTGCATGGCGTAAGAAAAGAAGAGGACTAGTGGGATACGGTTGCTGACCTGGCAATCCATGAGGATAGGAGAGGTTGCTGACCTGGCAGTCCATGAGGATAAGGTTGTAGTGGTTCTTCTCGGAGAGGTTAACTGCTTCGAGCCCATTGTTGGCGAGATCCACACTCACGCCCAGCATCGCTAGCATCGATTTTGCCACCTTCTGGTTGATCTGTGGGAAGAGAAACAGGTGGGCCACAGGATTGCAGGAGCTGAAGAACGGTGGAGTGTGGTTTGTTGGTGGTTCTTCTCGGAGAGGTTAACTGCCTCGAGCCCGTTGTTGCCGAGATCCACACTCATGGCCAGCATCGCCAGCATCGACTTGGCCACCTTCTGGTTGATCTGTGGGTTGGGATGAGATGTGACAAGGGTGGACAACGTATGAGACGCCTCAAAAGTTAACTGCCTCGAGCCCGTTGTTTGTGAGGTCCACACTCACTCCCAGCATCGCTAGCATCGATTTCGCCACCTTCTGGTTGATCTGTGGGGAGTGAAGTGAAGACAGGTGATGGTCACAGGATTACAGAAGGTGAAGAATGGCAGGAGGGAGGGGTTTGCTGTGGTTGCCGAGCCCCTCCACACTCACTCCCAGCATGGCGAGCATTGACTTCGCCACCTTCTGGTTGATCTGTGGGTTGGGATCGGTAGGTGATGGGAACACAAGGATTACAGCTAGGTGACGGACGGTTAACTGCCTCGAGCCCATTGTTGGCGAGGTCCACACTCACGCCCAGCATCGCTAGCATGGATTTCGCCACCTTCTGGTTGATCTGTGGGGAGTTAAGTGAAGACAGGTGATGGTCACAGGATTACAGAAGGTGAAGAACAGAACAGCATGTGGGCTTCGCTACTCACACACCCAGCGTCACCAGCATAGACAAGGATAGATCACAAGGGGCACTCTTAAAAACAGCGTTGACCACCATTGACCAGCGTTGACCACCATTGACCACCATTGACCACCATTGACCAGCATTGACCACCATTGACCAGCATTGACCACCGTTGACCAGCATTGACCACCATTGACCAGCATCAACTCACCACATTATCTTCGGCGCTATGCTTCCCTCCTCCACCCTCCCCTTACCCCACCCCATCCCAGCTCGCATTTCCCTTTTTGAGCGACGATTCAGAACATGACTCACCACATTGACCAACACCAACTGGCATTGACCAGCGTTGACCAGCGTTGACTCACCGCATTGTCTTCTGCCAACAATATCCGGTCGCTCTGCTTCGGTCCTCCTGGGCTTACCCCCTCCCTTCCTGCCTCCCTTCCTGCCCCCACACCCCATCACTTGCCCGTCCTCCCTTCCTGCCCCCACACCCCATCACTTGCCCGTCCTCCCTGTACTGCCCCTCCTGCCCCCCCCCCACACTGCAGCAGGCTTCCAAGTCAGCTCAAGAACACTGACTCACCAGCATTGACCAGCATTGACCAACGTTGACCAGCGTTGACTCACCGCATTGTCTTCTGCCAACAATATCCGGCCGCTAAGCTTTGGTCCGCTGGGTTTGCCCCCTCCTGCCCGCGTGCCCACACCACTCGCCCGCCCTCCCCTTGCCGCCCCTCCTGCCCCTTCCCCCCCCTCCCCCACAGCAGCAGACTTATAAGTTCAACTCAAGAGCATTCACTCACCGCATTGTCTTCTGCCAACAATATCCGGCCACTAAGCTTCGGTCCGCTGGGTTTGCCTCCTCCTGCCCGCGTGCCCACACCACTCGCCCGCCCTCCCCTTGCTGCCCCTCCTGCCCCTCCCTGCTGCAGCAGACTCTCCCCCCCTGGCGTTGCCCTCAGCGCTGCTTCTAGCGCCTCCATTAGAGCCTTGGGGCGGACCTGGGGGGGTGGTGGGGGGGTGGGTGCGAATGGGTAGATGGGGAATCGAGGTTACAGGGAAGGAGCGGGTGCAGGGATGCAGCAGACTCTCCCCTCCTGGCGTTGCCCTCAGTGCTGCTTCTAGCGCCTCCATCAGCGCCTTGGGGCGAACCTGTGATAAGGGGGAAAGGGAGTGGGGTGGAAGAGAGTGGGAGACTGGGGGTTGGGATGCAGCAGCACAGGATGCAGCCGGCTCTCCCCTCCTGGCGTTGCCCTCAGTGCCGCTTCTAGCGCCTCCATCAGCGCCTTGGGGCGAACCTGTGATAAGGGGGAAAGGGAGTGGGGTGGAAGAGAGTGGGAGACTGGGGGTTGGGATGCAGCAGCACAGGATGCAGCCGGCTCTCCCCTCCTGGCGTTGCCCTCAGAGCCGCTTCTAGCGCCTCCATCAGCGCCTTGGGGCGAACCTGGGGGGGTGGTGGGGGAGAGGGAGGGGCAGGTAGAAAGCGGGTGAATGGGAAGTGGGGTTACCGGGAAGGAGTGGGTGCAGGGCATGCAGCAGACTCTCCCCCCCTGGGGTCGCCCTGAGTGCCGCTTCTAGCGCCTCCATCAGAGCCTTGGGGCGAACCTGTGAAGGGGGGAGAGGGGTGGGAGAGGGGAGTGGTGAGGGAGAGAGTGGGGAGATGGGAGTCTGTCTGGACTGGAACACACATCACAGACTGCAGCAGGCTCTCCCCCCCTGGCGTCGCCCTCAGCGCTGCTTCTAGAGCTTCCATCAGAGCCTTGGGGTGAACCTGTGGTGAGTGGGGGGATAAGAAGGGAAATCGGGATTATGGGGAAGGAGTGGATACAGAGATGCAGCAGACTTTCCGCTCCTGAGGTTGCCCTCAGCGCGGCTTCTAGTGCCTCCATTAGTGCCTTGGGGCGGGCGGGCCTTTAGTGGTCAGGGGTGAGACGGCGGGAATTGGAATTGGGATTACGGGGAAGGAAACTTGCAGCAGGCTCCCCTTGGGTTGCCCTCAGCGCTGCTTCTAGCTTCTTCTAGCTAACGCCACCTTATAACATACCATAGCACTGCTTCTAGCTAGCTTCTAGAGCCTCCGTTATGGGGCGGACCTGGGGTAGAAGGGGTGGTGGATTGTGGGGGAGAATACGGAGGGTGTCGAGGGGGAAAAGGGAGAGTGAGGAGGAGGAGAGTAGAGAAGTAGCTCAAAATCTCCTCTCTCCTCCCCACCCCACCCCACCCCACCATATCACACAACCCCACCCCACCCAACGCCACCTTATAACATACCATAGCACCCAGCCTACCATTGGCTTGTTGAGCAGGAGAGGCGGCGAGCGGTCGTGCCAGTGCCTGACGGCTCCGAGCTCCAGGCAAACATCTCTCCATCCCACCGCACCCCACCCCACCCGTCCCCACCCCACCCCACCGTACCATGGGTTTGTTGAGCAGGAGAGGCGGCAAGCGGTCGTGCCAGTGCCTCACGGCTCTGAGCTCTGCCTCTGTCTTCTCTGTCACTTGCGTGCGGTTCAGCAGCAGCACCACGCCCACCCTATCCCTGCCCAGACACTCCAACACCTCCTGCAGTGGTTTGAAACGTTAAAGTAGAAAGGGGGAAGGCATGGGGGAGTGGGGGGGGTTGAGAGCTGCAGCATGTACCGCCCTCAACTGCGGTTCAGCAGCAGCACCACGCCCACCCTATCCCTGCCCAGACACTCCAACACCTCCTGCAGTGGGTTGAAACGTTAAAGTAGAAAGGGGGGAGGAAGGCATGGGGGAGTGGGGGGGGCTGAGTGCTGCAGCATGTACCGCCCTCAACTGCGGTTCAGCAGCAGCACCACGCCCACCCTGTCCCTGCCCAGACACTCTAGCACCTCCTGTGGGGTTGAAACGTTGGACCATGCAAGAGGGGAGAAAGGGGCAGAGGAGTGGAGTATAGGGTGGGAAAGGATAGGAGCGTGGGTCATTATCAGCTAAAGTGGAGCGTTGACTCAGGTCAACCATCACAAGCGTCATAGTCAAGTCAGTCCTCAGCCACACCCTCCACCTCTCTCCCATTCCTTCACCGCACGGCAAGATGTTCACTAGCACCCACGCCACGTGTGATGAGTCGGATTTTGAGTCGACTAAAAAATCGAACCACCTCTCTCCCATTCCTTCACCACACGACAACATGTTCCACATGCCATGCCACTAGCACCCATGCCACGCCACCAAGCGACTCACAACAGCATCAATCACGAGTCACAATGGCGTTAGCATAAGCCAGAGTGGGGAGTTGACTCAGGTCAACCATCACAGCATCATAATCAGTCAGTCAGTCCTCCCTTCCACTCCCATCCCTCCTCCTCACGACAACACTTGCATTACCACCACCAACACCATCACTCAAAATCACATTGGCATCAGGGCGTTGACTCACAATCACGTTTGCATCAGCCAGGGTGGGGCGTTGACTGAGGTCAACCATCACAGCATCATAGTCCTCCGCCACGCCCTCCCGCTCGCTGCCATCCCTCCACCGCTCGATAAGATGTTGCGACACTAGCACCAACACCACTACAACTCACAACAATTCTTCAGCCAGAGTGGGCCATACACTCACAATCACGTTAGCATCAGCCAGAGTGGGGCGTTGACTCAGGTCAACCATCACAGCATCATAGTCCTCCGCCACGCCCTCCCGCTCGCTGCCGTCCCTCCACCGCACGGGCGGCGCCAGCCGGGCGGCAGGGGCGGGCGGCAGAGTGCCAGCTGGCAGACGCTGCAGAATGGCTTCTTCTGGCGTCGCGATGAGGAGCGAGTGAGGGACGTGCCAGGCTGCCAGCTGCTTCGATATGGCCGACGCTGTGACCTGGAGAGAGGTGAGGGGGCGAGGGGGATAGCAGGGAGGGAGAGATGGGACGGGTAAAGGGGGGTCACATCACATCACATGGTAGGGCGAGCATCTGGAGGAGGGGGAGTGCAGCAGAGTGCCAGCTGCAGAATGGCCTCTTCCGGCGTGGAGATGAGGAGCGAGTGAGGGACGTGCCAGGCTGCCAGCTGCTTCGATATGGCCGACGCTGTGACCTGGAGAGAGGTGAGGGGGCGAGGGAGACAATGAGGGGTACAGATGAGGGTGGAGAAGAAACAGGGGTGATGAGCAGGGAGTGAGGCACGTGCCAGGCTGTCAGCTGCTTCGATATGGCCGACGCTGTGACCTGGAGAGAGGTGAGGGGGCGAGGGGGATAAAACGGGGGTACAGATGAGGGTGGAGAAGAAACAAACAGGGTTGATGAGCACGGAGTGAGGCACGTGCCAGGCTGTCAGCTGCTTCGATATGGCCGACGCTGTGACCTGCGGAGGAGTGAGAGGGAGGGAGGGACGGGGACGGACGGACGGACCATAGCATCGCATTGCCATGCTTCCAGGGAGTGACACATAGCAAAACGATCCTACTGTTTTTCCACATTCACGCATCCCTCTACACCGGAGTGCACACCTCTTTCTGTGGTACCTGTACTGGCGAGATAACCAGGCGTCTCAGATTCAGCAACTCATCTGCCACACTCCCACCGCTCTAAAACCCTCTACACCGTACTGCACACCTCTCTCTCCCTGTGCTTACCTGTATCGGTGAGATAACCAGCAGTCTCAGATTCAGCAACTCATCCGCCACACTCCCGATAGCCAATGGGATGCTGCCACCTGACAACGGCCCCCTCCTCCCCTCCCCTCTCCCCCCTTCCCCTCCCCCCGCTACCCCCGTTCCCCCCCCAGTGGAGGACGAGGTGGGGAGGGAGAGCGGGATTGCTGACTCAGACACGACGAGGCTGCTGCTGCTGCACTGATTGGCCAGCGATGACATGGACAGGGAGAGAGCTGACGTGTACGCGGGGTGGTGGGCGTTGATTGGCAGGTGCACGGTGAATGTGGTCCCCACATGGAACTCACTCTCCACTGATATACTCCCACCCATCAGCTCTACCAGCTGTTGAAGGGGTTGAGCACAGAGTGGAGTGGGCACAAATAAGAAAGTAAACGGAAAGTGGCAGGTGCACGGTGAAAGTGGTGCCCACGTGGAACTCGCTCTCCACTGATATGCTCCCTCCCATCAACTCCTCCAGCTGTAAAAGTGGCAGCGAAAGGTATAACAGAAAGGAGAACGGGGCAGCGGGAGATGGGAGAGCAGATGAGAGAGAGTGAGTAAAGAGGGTGCACGGTGAAGGTGGTCCGCACGTGGAACTCACTCTCCACTGATATGCTCCCCCCCATCAGCTCTACCAGCTGGAGTGGTGAGAAGAGGATGTTAGAATCTATATATTATAGCATGCGAACACTTGTGACTGTACACCAAGAGTGGTGTACAGTTGGGTTGGTTCAGGCCCTAGTTTTGGGTGTACAGCGGGTAGACACCCTAATTGGGGTGAACCCAAATATCCTAGCTTAGACTTGGCTCCAACCTTGTTGGCCAAGTGGGGCAACCAACTTTGGTTGGTTGGCCACCATCCCACTAGGGTTGGTTGGATGGTCCTTCCTCCCACTAGCCTACTTGGTCTTGGTGTCTTATGTGCTAGGTTGGGTGTTCTTCTCCAACCTTCTCTTCCTTGTATATCCTTGTGCTCTCTTGAGCTAATGTTAACAATTCTTCCTCAACTTTCTATAGCTCATAGTTTCTTTCAGAGGAAAGAGAAAGAGGGGGCGAGATGGGAGAGCAGGGATAGTAGTGAACAAGGATGAGGGGAGACGAGACAGCACGGCTGCACGATTGATGTGGGCCCAAGATGAGGGCCGATGTTGAAACCACTCTTCGGACTTCTCATGATGAGACTTCGTTAGCACCACAAGAGGTGATAAATCTATTCATCCACCCAGGCCAGCTCAGCATGTGGCAGGCAGGCAGCCGTCCCCTTACATACTCTCACCATATGCATTGACTTTCGAGTCGACTCAAAAGACTTTTGAGTCGACTCAAAAGTCACCTCGTTGAGTCGACTCAAAAGTCAGCTCAACATGTGGCAGGCAGGCAGCCGTCCCCTTACATACTCTCACCATATGCATTGCGGCCACCCATCCATATGAGGGTACCAAACCGAGTAGGTACTCGAACGTGTTGGAGTTGCTTCAGAGAATTCTCAAGAGCAGGCGAGGGGCACGCACCTGCTTTGAGATGGCAAGGCCCAGCCCCGTGCCTCCGAACTTGCGTGTGGTGGATGCATCCACCTGATGGGTCAGAGCAGATAGGGGGCGAGGAAGATTGGAGAGAAGGGAGAGGGGTTTTCGAGGTGCCACATGATTCGTCCCACATCACGCGGTTTTGAGATGGCAAGGCCCAGCCCCGTGCCTCCGAACTTGCGTGTGGTTGATGCATCCACCTGATGGGGTGAGCGTGCAGAGGAAGTGAGGGATGGGAGGGAGGGAGGAGAGAGGGAGGAAAGTGAGTGAGCGAATGAGAGAGTGAGTGCGTGCGTGAGTGAGTGAGTGAGTGAGTGAGTGAGGGAGGGAGGGAGGGAGGGAGGGAGGGAGGGAGGGAGGGACGGACGGAAGGAGGGAGGGAGGGGGGAGGGAGGGAGTGAGTGAAGGGGGGAGGAGCATGTTCCATGCTGAAGCCAATTAAAAGCAGCATGGCAAGACAGCGTTCCATGCCGAGCCCCTGAACCTGTGCTTTGGCCTGCCTCAAAAGGCAATCCTATCTCAAACCTCCCACACCCGCAGGGCGAATCAAATAACTACCATACCAGACAAACAGATACACTTTGCGAGGCCTCCTTCAGCATTCGCCAGCAGTGCAGAGTCAACCCTGCTCCGTTCCTTACAGCGCTTACCTGAGAGAACTTAGTAAAGAGCCTGCCGAGCCGCTCCATGGGAATGCCGATGCCAGTGTCAATGACCTGGCACACCCAGAACTGCTGCGGTACCAATGGGCCGCTGTTGGGTGCAGAGGTGTTGGTGGTGGTGGAATTGGTGGTGGTGAGGGTGGTGGTGGTGGAAGAGGAGGAGGAGGCGGGGAGGGCGGGGTGAGACGGGGAGGAGGGGAGGGCGGGGGCGGTGTTGGAGGAGAGGCGGAAGATAACGTGTCCACGTTCGGTGAACTTGATGGCGTTTGATACGAGGTTGATTAGCACCTGGTAGAGCACGTGAGGGGCATGGGCAGGAAAGGGGGGAGTGGGATATGACGTGTCCACGTTCGGTGAACTTGATGGCATTCGACACGAAGTTGATGAGCACCTGATGATAAAGCCAGCGAGGGGGATGAATGGGAACGGAAGGGGGGTGGGTGGGTGGGTGGGGTGGGTTATAGCAGCAGTGGGTTGACCGCCTGCAGCTTAGAAGAGCGTCTGCTCGATCTCCAGCTTGCCGGACAGCGTGCGTGTGCTCTGTGCTCATGCATGCATGCATGCAATGCAACCAACCAACCAACCAACCAACCAACCAAACAACGAGACGCACCTGCAGCGTGCGACCTGAATCCCCAACGAGGAAGGTAGGCGTGTCCGGGCCGATCTCAATGACCACCTCCAGCCCCTTGCTCTCCGCATTATGAATCAGCAGCTCCGCCACCCGCTCCACGGCCTGCAGCGCGTTGAAGAGCGTCTGCTCGATCTCCAGCTCCCCTACCCTGCCACGCCCTCCCTTACCCAATTCCCGATACCCCCTTCCCAACCCCCTACGCACCTGCAACGTTCGTCCTGAGTCCCCAACCAGGAACGTGGGAGTATCCGGGCCGATCTCGATCACCACCTCGAGCCCCTTGCTCTCCGCGTTATGGATGAGCAGCTCCGCCACTCGCTCCACGGCCTGCAGTGCGTTGAAGAGCGTCTGCTCTGCTCTGCTGCATGCAACCAACCACCCAGCCCCCCTCTCTAGCCTGCTACACCCTTCCCTCGCTTCCCGTTTCTCCCTTCCCAGCCCCCCATGCCTCTCCTCTCCCCACTACGCACCTGCAGTGTTCTCCCGGAATCTCCAACCAAGAAGGTAGGCGTGTCCGGTCCAATCTCAATCACAACTTCCAGCCCCTTGCTCTCCGCGTTGTGGATGAGCAGCTCCGCCACTCGCTCCACGGCCTGCAGTGCGTTGAAGAGCGTCTGCTCGATCTCCAGCTTGCCGGACTCGATCTTGGAGTAGTCGAGAATATCATTGATAATCTGCAGCAGCATGTCGCCTGAGTCCCTTATGGTCACCACGCGGTCGCGTTGTTCAGGAGTCAAGTCGGTGTCCAGGAGAAGGGCCGTCATGCCCACCACGCCATTCATGGGGGTGCGGATCTCGTGGCTCATGGTGGCGAGGAAATCTGCAGGTGTGGGGGGGTGGGGACAGGGGGAAAGGGTGAAAGAGGGGAAAGCAGAGTGGTGAAGGGAGTGCTGTGTGCCCCATCGATCTCCAGCTTGCCGGACTCGATCTTGGAGTGGTCGAGAATATCGTTGATGATCTGCAGCAGCATGTCGCCCGAGTCCCGAATGGTAACCACGCGGTCGCGCTGCTCCGGTGTGAGGTACGTGTCCAGGAGAAGGGCCGTCATGCCCACCACGCCGTTCATGGGGGTCCTGATCTCATGGCTCATGGTGGCGAGGAAGTCTGGAGGTGGGAGGGAGGGGGAGGGGGAGAGGGAGAGGTGGAGAAAGCAGGGCGGTGAGGGCTCAATCGATCTCCAGCTTGCCCGACTCGATCTTGGAGTAGTCGAGAATGTCGTTGTCGATCTGCAGCAGCATGTCGCCCGAGTCCCTTATGGTTACCACTCTGTCGCGCTGCTCGGGAGTCAAGTCGGTGTCTAGGAGAAGGGCCGTCATGCCGACGACCCCGTTCATAGGGGTGCGAATCTCGTGGGACATTGTGGCGAGGAAGTCTGGAGGCAAGAGGGGAATGGGAGGGGAAAAGGGGAGTGAGAGCTCGCTCGATCTTGGAGTAGTCGAGAATGTCGTTTCTGATCTGCAGCAGCATGTCGCCTGAATCGCGGATTGTTACCACGCGGTCCCTCTGCTCCGGTGTGAGGTCTGTGTCCAGGAGCAAGGCCGTCATGCCCACCACCCCGTTCATGGGGGTGCGGATCTCGTGGCTCATGGTGGCGAGGAAGTCTGCAGGTGGAGGGGGAGGGGGTAAGGGGGAAACGTGGAGTGAAGAGCTTGGTCGATCTTGGAGTAGTGGAGAATGTCGTTGATGATCTGCAGCATGTCGCCTGAATCCCAAATGGTGACTACTCTGTCCCTCTGCTCGGGAGTCAAGTCGGTGTCCAGGAGCAGCGCTGTCATGCCCACCACGCCGTTCATGGGGGTGCGGATCTCGTGGCTCATGGTGGCGAGGAAGTCTGAAGGTGGGAGGGTAGGGGAGGGGATAGGGGGAGTGAAGAGCCCATGCATGCAAGCCCATGCATGTGCCCACAAACCCATGTGCCCATGTGTAGATATGTGCGTGTGCCCTTAACCGTGTACTCCCTACACCAGCCCTCTGCTCCTTCCCCACTCCCACCCACACAGCCTGTGCGAACATCTTCCTCTCTGTGATGTCCGTGTGCATGCCCACAAACCCATCTGTACCAGTATACCCTGAACCAACCCCCCACTCCCTCCCCCACCCACCTGCTTTAGCTTGTGACGCCCTCTCCGCCTCGTCCTTAGCCTGCACCATGCCCTGCTCGAACATCTTCCTCTCTGTGATGTCCGTGTGTGTTCCCACGAACCGCAGCGGCTCCCCGTCCTCCGTCTTGCTCAGCACCTTGCCGCGGTGCAGGAACCAACTGGTGGGGGGGATGAGGAGTGGGGGTACGTAGAGGAGGGGGGGGGGGGAGGGGAAGGAGGGGTTTGCAGCACAGGCAAGGCACAATGAGCAGCACACTCATGCAGGCTCCCCGTCCTCCGTCTTGCTCAGCACCTTGCCGCGATGCAGGAACCAACTGGGGGATGGGGGGGGCAAAAGGGGGGTATGGGGATGAGGAGGTATAAGGTTGACTGCCACAAACCGCAGCGGCTCCCCGTCCTCCGTCTTGCTCAGCACCTTGCCTCGGTGCAGGAACCACCTGAAGAAGGGGGGGGAGGGGAGGAACAGAGAGACTGAACAAAAACCAGCAAGACACAAAGGGCAGTGTGTTCTGTTCTGGGTGCACAAGTCGGATGGCAGGAGGAGAGGCACTTGTAATTGTACTTTTGAGTCGACTCAAAAGACAAGTCGGATGGCAGGAGGAGAGGCACTTGTAATTGTACTTTTGAGTCGACTCAAAAGACAAGTCGGATGGCAGGAGGAGAGGCACTTGTAATTGTACTGCTCGCTGCGTCAGCAATGCCTCCAACCCGTTGCCTCCTATCTCACATGTAGCTTCCGTCCTTGCATCTGAGCCGTTCACTCGACCTCCATCTCACCTGTAGCTGCCGTCCTTGCATCTGAGCCGTTGCTCGTTCACAAACTGCGCAGTAACGCCGTCTAAATGCTCCTTAAGGTCTGCATACGCGCGGTCCTTGTCTTCTGGGTGCAACAGTCGATCCCACTCGTCCAGTGTGGAGCCTATGTCTCCAGGCTCGTAGCTGTGATGGGGAGAGAGTTTGGAGAAGTGTGTATTGGTGTAGGAAGGAAGGTCGGATGAGCTCCAGATGCTCCTTAAGGTCAGCATATGCGCGGTCCTTGTCCTATGGGTGCAACAGCCAGTCCCACTCGTCCAGTGTTGACCCTATGTCGCCAGGCTCGTAGCTGGGGCGGAGGAGAGGGAGGGAGGGGGGGAGAGCGAGCAGGGGGGCTTGTCACGCCAGCCAGATGCTCCTTGAGGTCGGCATACGCTCTGTCCTTGTCCTCTGGATGGAGCAGCCGGTCCCACTCGTCCAACGTGGAGCCGATGTCACCAGGCTCGTAGCTGTGGGTAAATGGGGGGAAAGGAGATGACTTGGGGTGGGGAGGGTGCATACGCTCTGTCCTTGTCCTCTGGGTGCAACAGTCGATCCCACTCGTCCAGTGTTGAGCCTATATCGCCAGGCTCGTAGCTGGGTGAAGGAACGAGGGATAGAGAGAGGAGCAGGGAGGGGGAGAGGGAGGGTGAATGGAGGGGGAGAGGGAGGGTGAATGGGAGGAGCAGCGGGGTGTCACAGCCCACAGCAGATGCTCTTTGAGATCTGCATATGTTCTGTCCTTGTCCTCATTCTCGTTCAAAAGCCACCCTGCCCTGCGCTCATGAACAGTCAACTCAATTCAGAACGTGCCCTGCACTCACCCCAGCATCTGCTTCCATCGATCAGAGAAGAACATGGTGTTGTCGCGCACGTTCCAGTCCCACACTCCATCGTCGCTGCCTGACAACGCGTACAGCCACCGCTCCTCGCTCTCCTGCTCACATGCACAGTGTGGGCAAAGATCGGGGCACGTGAGCTTGGCGAGTGGTACACATGGGCAAATGGTGGGATTGGCGACATAGAGCACGCACGGTGTCGTACCTACGTGCCCTTTGACACCGACACCTCCAGCCGTGCTCTCATGCCTTAAAGCCCCAGCCCACCCCACCCCGCTCACCATGAGCTTCTTCTCCGCGTCCAGTCGTTCCGAGATGTCTCTCAGCACAGCCACATAGAGCACGCACAGTGTCGTAGTACCTACGTGCCCTTTGACACCTCCAGTCGTTTGCTCATGCATCGAAGCACAGGAGATCCTTCCGGACACGCCAACCAAACATCTCCTGCAACAGCCCAACCTACCTAACCGACCAACCCAAGGTACCCACCTTGAGCTTCTTCTCCGCATCCAGTCGTTCCAAGATATCTCTCAGCACGGCCACATAGAAGACGGTGTCGTACGTGCCCTTGGAGACCAACACCTCCAGAGGTGCCCAAACCACTGTCAACCCAACCAAGGAAGGTACCCACCTTGAGCTTCTTCTCCGCATCCAGCCTCTCGGAGATGTCCCTCAGCACAGCCACATAGAAGACAGTGTCATAGGTGCCCTTAGAGACAGACACCTCCAGAGGGAACGTGCTGCCGTCCACGCGCCTGCCGATGCCCTTGTGCACCTTGCCACTCGCCGCGTCCAGCCCTGTGGAAGGTGTGAAGGAGCGGAGGGAGGGGCATTGAGTGGAGTGGACGTGCTGACTAAAAAAACAAAAGCCAGCAGCTCAGGTCAGGGGAGTGGACGTGCTGCCGTCCACGCGCCTGTTGATGCCCTTGTGCACCTTGCCACTCGCCGCATCGAGGCCTGTGTGATGTGTGGAAGGAGAGACAGGGAGAGAGGGAGAAAGGGGCAATGAGCTCTCCTGAAGTGAGTAGGGCGTGGGGCAGCGTGCTGCCGTCCACCCGCCTGCCAATGCCCTTGTGACTCGCCGCGTCAAGCCCTGTGATGCGCGGAAGGAGAGGGGCGGAAGCATAATGGGAGAAATTCGAGGTGCCTCAAAGTCGCCTTATAAGTCGCCTCCGAGTTTGAGGTGCCTCAAAGAAGGGTGAAAACATCGGTAAGCGCAGAAAATATAATCTTCCGCTTTATTTCCCCTTTCTCCCCTCCCCCTTTCCCATCCCCCATCCTTGCATTGCATGCCCCATCTCACCTAGAGCCAGAAAGTATCTCTCGCCGTTGATCTCCACCATCACATTCTGTACTTGCACATTGGCTGGGCCAGTAGAATCTACCCAACCCCTCATCATCACACCCCCCATTCCCTTACCCTCTGCGTTTCATCCACTTTCCCCCATCCCAATTCGCCGCTCCCCCCGCTCTCTTGCATCTCACTGCATGCCAGGAAGCCTGGAACTGCAATTAGTCATCCTCATTCCCTTAGCCCATCACCTCACCTGCCCTTCTCTTACCCTCTGCATTCCACCCAGATCCCCCATCCCGAATCGCCTCGTGCCAGGAAGTCCCCCTGGCCGTTGATCTCCACCATCAGATCCTGGAACTGCAGGTTGGGGGGCGGCGTGACGTTGCTGCTATCACGGCTGATGATGCTCCCCCCAGCCGCCACAGCAGCAGCAGTGCCGTTGATGCTGCTGCTGCCATTGGTGTCGGGAGGGGTGGGGATGGCGAGTAGCTGAACATCTGCCCCCCCCACATCCCCTTTCCCTTCCCCCTTGTTCCCCATCTCAGCTCGTGCCAGGAAGTCCCCCTGGCCGTTGATCTCCACCATCAGATCCTGGAACTGCAGGTTGGGGGGCGGCGTGACATTGCTGCTGTCACGGCTGATGATGCTCCCCCCAGCCGCCACAGCAGCAGCAGCAGTGCCGTTGGTGCTGCTGCTGCCATTGGTGTCGGGAGGGGTGGGGATGGCGAGTAGCTGAACATCTGCCCCCCCCACATCCCCTTTCCCTTCCCCCTTGTTCCCCATCTCACCTCGTGCCAGGAAGTCCCCCTGGCCGTTGATCTCCACCATCAGATCCTGGAACTGCAGATTGGGCGGCGGCGTGACGTTGCTGCTGTCGCGGCTAATAATGCTCCCCCCAGCCGCAACAGCAGCAGCAGCAGTGCCGTTGGTGCTGCTGCTGCCGTTGGTGTCGGGAGGGGTGGGCGAGTAACCAAACATCTGCCGTGCCGAGAGGTTCATGGATGTGACGTGGCCGCTGTGGGAGAGCGACATGATGCCCTCCTTCGCCACCTGGGGGGGGAGTGCGGGATTGGGGGATTGGGGGATGGGAGTGAGAGGCAGCAGCAGCAGAAGGAGCAACAGCAGCAGCAACAGCAACAGTAGCAGCAGTGCCGTTGGTGCCACTGCTGCTAGTGGGAAGTGATGGTGTCGGAAGGGGTGGGCGAGTAACCAAACATCTGCCGTGCCGAGAGGTTCATGGATGTGACGTGGCCGCTGTGGGAGAGCGACATGATGCCCTCCTTCCACCTGAGGGGATTGTTTGGATGGAAGATGGAGGGTGGAGAATGGGGAGTGACAGGCAGGAGGCAGAGGAGCAGAGATACAGGTTCATGGTTCTATCTCTCACAATCTCTCGCTCTCTGTCTCTCCCTTTCCATATTACTCCCTCTCCCCCATTACTCACCTGCACAACGCTGGACCAGTGCAGCTCAGCCTCCTTCCTCCTCTTCCTCTCATTCACCGCGTATCATCTGAGCGATCATCATCGTCAGCGGCTCAATTCTTCCCCCTCTCCCTCTCTCCTTTTCCCTCTCCCTCTCCCCCTCACCATCTCCCTCTTCCTCTCTCTCTCTCTCCCTCTCCCTCTCTCCTTCTTCCTCTCCCTCTCCCCCTCCCCCTCTCCCTCTCCCTCTCCCCCTCACCCTCTTCCTCTCTCTCTCTCCCTCTCCTCTCTTCCCCAGTACTCACCCGACGCTCGACAAGTGTAATTCAGCCTCCTTCCTCCTTTCCTCTCATTCACCGCGTATCATCCGAGCGATCGTCATCGTCAGAGGCTCAATATCCCTCTCCCTTCCTACCTATCCCCTCTTACCTGCACAACGCTGGACAGATGCAGTTCAGCCTCCTTCCTCCTCTTCCGTTCATTCACCGCATAGATCATCTGTGCAATCGTCATCGTCAGCGGCTCAATCTCCTTCACCAGCTGCTCGTCGTACCCCTGCAGGCGATTGGCCACCCCGAATATCCCTATCAGCTCCGTGCCTGCAAACAGGAGGGTAAAAGTGGGGGAGGAGGAAGGAGAATGAGAGGAGGACAGAGGGAGGGAGGCTCAATCTCCACTTGCGGCTCGTCGTACCCCTGCAGGCGATTTGCCACTCCAAAGATCCCTATCAGCTCCGTGCCTGTGTGAGGGGAGAGAGCAGCGCGGGTGGGGGTAGGAATATGGGGTATATGGGGGAGAAGAGGGGAAATAGAGAGGCTCAATCTCCTTCACCAGCTGCTCGTCGTACCCTTGGAGGCGATTGGCCACCCCGAATATCCCTATCAGCTCCGTGCCTGCAAAAAGGTGGGGTAAAAGTAGGGGTCAGGAGAGTGGGAGAGAGAGGGGAAAAGAGGGAGGTTCAATCTCCTTCACCAGCTGCTCATCGTACCCCTGCAGTCGATTCGCCACTCCAAAGATCCCAATGAGCTCCGTGCCTGCAAAAACAAGCAAGGGTACAAGGGAGACAGTGTGAGGTTCAATCTCTTTCACCAACTGCTCATCCCCCTTCCCCACACCCCTTTCAGCCCCTCTCATCCCTCCCAAACCCATCCCTCAACCCACCGGTGTAGAGCGGAATGCCCATGAACTTCTCGATAACGGGATGGCCTGGAGGGACCCCTCTCGCCCGCGGGTCATTGCGAGCATCATTCGAAAGCACCTGCTGCCCCGTCAGCACACCCAACCCCACCCACCCAACCACACCCGCCCTCTCACCCACCTGTATACAGCAGAATCCCCATGAACTTTTCGATCACAGGGTGCCCCGGCGGCACTCCTCTGGCACGGGGGTCATTGCGGGCGTCATTGGAGAGCACCTGCTGGCCCGTGAGCACCACGGCGCCGTGCAGAGTGTTCATGTTGGTGAATACGAGCCCCTTGTGTGCCCCCCCTTCCCCCTGTCCCCTTCTCTCCTTCCTCCGACATCCAATCACACCCAACCACACCCAACCACACCCAGCCTCACCCACCCTTTCACCCACCCGTATACAACGGGATGCCCATGAACTTCTCGATAACGGGATGGCCCGGAGGGACTCCTCTGGCGCGGGGGTCGTTGCGAGCATCGTTGGAGAGCACCTGCTGCCCCGTGAGCACCACGGCGCCGTGCAGAGTGTTCATGTTGGTGAATACGAGCCAAGTTAAGGGCACCCATCTCTCTAGCTCCTTCCCCCTGTCCCCCCTCCTCCTCCCACCCACAACCCACCGCACCCCACTGCACTCAACCACACCCACCCCTTCACCCACCAGTATACAGCGGGATGCCTATGAACTTCTCAATGACGGGATGGCCGGGAGGGACTCCTCTCGCACGCGGGTCATTCCGAGCGTCGTTGGAGAGCACCTGCTGCCCCGTGAGCACCACGGCGCCGTGCAGAGTGTTCATGTTGGTGAATACGAGCCCCTTCTCTGCCCCCTTCCCCCTGTCCCCTTCTCTCCTTCCTCCGACATCCAATCACACCCAACCACACCCAACCACACCCAACCACACCCAGCCTCACCCACCCTCTCACCTACCTGTATACAGCAGGATGCCCATGAACTTCTCGATCACAGGGTGCCCTGGGGGGACCCCCCTCGCCCGCGGGTCATTGCGAGCATCATTGGAGAGCACCTGCTGCCCCGTCCGTCAGCACCCACGCCCAACCACGCCCAACCGCACCCAGCCGCAACCCTTCACCCACCTGTATACAGCGGGATGCCCATGAACTTCTCAATAACGGGATGGCCCGGAGGCACTCCTCTCGCACGAGGATCATTCCTGGCATCGTTGGAGAGCACCTGCTGCCCCGTCAGCACGACAGCCCCGTGCAGCGTGTTCATGTTGGTGAATACGAGCCCCTTGTGTGCGTTCGCTGCATACCATGCCCGCAGCTCTTTCGTCCATGCCACGTTCGTCATTGCATGCGTCTGGTGGGGCGTGGGTGGGGGGAGAAGGGAGGGGGCACGGGAGGGAGCAAGGGACGGTGCAGGGTGGGGAGCAGGGAGGGAGAAGGGTGGGAGAAGAAGGGAGGAGCGAGGCATTGAGGTGAGCACGTGAGCACAACAGCACCGTGCAGAGTGTTCATGTTGGTGAAGACGAGCCCCTTGTGTGCATTCGCCGCGTACCATGCCCGCAGCTCCTTGGTCCACGCTACGTTCGTCATTGCGTGGGTCTGATAAAGGGAAGTGGGTGGGTGGTGGGGACGAGGTGAGGAGGGGAGGAGGGAAGGTGGAGGGAGGGAGCAAGGGAGAAAGAAGGGAGGGACGGTGGGGAAGAAGGGAGCGAGAAAGGAGGGAGAGGGGAGGAAGAAGGGAGGAAGAGAGGAGGGAGAAAGGAAGGAGAAGGGAAGGAGAAGGAAGGGAGAAAAGAGGGAACAAGGGAGGAAGAAAGGAGGGAGAAGGGAGGGAGAAGGGAGGGAGCGAGTATGCAACAGTGAGCCTGACTGACAGCACTGCAGAGTCGTGCAGTGCAGTGTCTTGCACACATCCCCATATCATGCGCACATTCCCTGGTCCATGAAACGTTGGCAAGCTAAGGGCAGCATGGAAGAAGGGAGGCAGCATCACACCCCAGCCCAGCCCGGCCCAGCTGAGCCCAGCCTAGTCCAGCCCAGCCCAGCAGCCAGCAGCCAGCATGGTTCTTGAGGTACAGGAGGCACCCCACACCCCACACCCCACACCCCACACCCCACACCCCACACCCCACACCTTAGCCCAGCCCTGCACCGCACAGCACCGTCCAGCCACCAGACAGCCCACTCCAGCCCGGCACCCAGAACCCAGCAGCCAGGCCCCATCACCGCACAGCACCCAAGCAGACCTTGAGGTAGGGCGTGCCGTCGGCCTTGAGCAGCGCGGAGGAGATGAAGCCAAAGCTGGACTCGGTGACCTCCAGGAGCGCCGGCAGCGAGGCACGCACACCCCAGCACCCAGCCCAAGCCCAGCCCATCCTGTCCCAGCACAGCACAGCCCCCAGCCCAGCCCAGCACGGACCTTGAGGTATGGCGTGCCGTCGGCCTTGAGCAGAGCGGAGGAGATGAATCCGAAGCTGGACTCGGTGACCTCCAGGAGCGCTGACAGCAGATAGTCAAACACGAGACTGCCGTTGGGCTCCTGTGGAGGGTAATGGGGAGGGATGGGAGAGGGGGAAAGGGCGGGGGAATAGAGGGGGAAGGCGTGAGGGGGAAGGGGAGATGAAGCCAAAGTTGGACTCGGTGACCTCCAGGAGAGCAGACAGGAGGTAGTCAAACACGAGGCTGCCGTTGGGCTCCTGTGAGGAGGGGAGGAGGGAACAGGAGGGTAAGGAAGGGAATGGGATGGGAGGGGAGGGGGGGGGAGATAAAGGAGGGAAAGGGAGGGAATTGGAGGGGAGTAGTGGGAAGGGAGGGGAAGGGGAGGGAACAGCCGACACCAGATCACCAGACTGCCGTTGGGCTCCTGCGAGGAGGAGGGGAGGGGATGGGAGGGGAGGGGAGGGGAGGGGAGGGGATGGGAGGGGAGGGGATGGGAGGGGAGGGGATGGGAGGGGAGGGGATGGGAGGGGAGGGGAGGGGAGGGGGGGAAGGGAGGGGAGGGGAGGGGAGTTGCGGGGTGGGGGAGAAACGAGGGGAGACAAGGGGGCGGAGGGGCAGTTAGGGAAAGGGCAAGGCTGGAAAAGGGGAACTTTGCAACCCCCAACAACCAACCACCTCATTCGCACACCTTATCAATGAAGTACACTTGGTGTGCACGAGTGATAGCAGCCAGCAGCTTCCTCTCAAGCAACTCTACACAACCTTCACCATCCTTCACCGCTCTTCACCGCTCTCCCACTCATACCTTATCAATGAAGTACACTTGGTGTGCACGAGTGATAGCAGCCAGCAGCTTCCTCTCAAGCAACTCTACACAACCTTCACCATCCTTCACCGCTCTTCACCGCTCTCCCACTCATACCTTATCAATGAAGTACACTTGGTGTGCACGAGTGATAGCAGCCAGCAGCTTCCTCTCAAGCAACTCTACACAACCTTCACCATCCTTCACCGCTCTTCACCGCTCTCCCACTCATACCTTATCAATGAAGTACACTTGGTGTGCGCGAGTGATAGCAGCCAGCAGCTTCCTCTCAAGCAACTCTACACAACCTTCACCATCCTTCACCGCTCTTCACCGCTCTCCCACTCATACCTTATCAATGAAGTACACTTGGTGTGCGCGAGTGATAGCAGCCAGCAGCTTCCTCTCAAGCAACTCTACACAACCTTCACCATCCTTCACCGCTCTTCACCGCTCTCCCACTCATACCTTATCAATGAAGTACACTTGGTGTGCGCGAGTGATAGCAGCCAGCAGCTTCCTCTCAAGCAACTCTACACAACCTTCACCATCCTTCACCGCTCTTCACCGCTCTCCCACTCATACCTTATCAATGAAGTACACTTGGTGTGCGCGAGTGATAGCAGCCAGCAGCTTCCTCTCAAGCAACTCTACACAACCTTCACCATCCTTCACCGCTCTTCACCGCTCTCCCACTCATACCTTATCAATGAAGTACACTTGGTGTGCACGAGTGATAGCAGCCAGCAGCTTCCTCTCAAGCAACTCTACACAACCTTCACCATCCTTCACCGCTCTTCACCGCTCTCCCACTCATACCTTATCAATGAAGTACACTTGGTGTGCACGAGTGATAGCAGCCAGCAGCTTCCTCTCAAGCAACTCTACACAACCTTCACCATCCTTCACCGCTCTTCACCGCTCTCCCACTCATACCTTATCAATGAAGTACACTTGGTGTGCACGAGTGATAGCAGCCAGCAGCTTCCTCTCAAGCAACTCTACACAACCTTCACCATCCTTCACCGCTCTTCACCGCTCTCCCACTCATACCTTATCAATGAAGTACACTTGGTGTGCGCGAGTGATAGCAGCCAGCAGCTTCCTCTCAAGCAACTCTACACAACCTTCACCATCCTTCACCGCTCTTCACCGCTCTCCCACTCATACCTTATCAATGAAGTACACTTGGTGTGCGCGAGTGATAGCAGCCAGCAGCTTCCTCTCAAGCAACTCTACACAACCTTCACCATCCTTCACCGCTCTTCACCGCTCTCCCACTCATACCTTATCAATGAAGTACACTTGGTGTGCGCGAGTGATAGCAGCCAGCAGCTTCCTCTCAAGCAACTCTACACAACCTTCACCATCCTTCACCGCTCTTCACCGCTCTCCCACTCATACCTTATCAATGAAGTACACTTGGTGTGCGCGAGTGATAGCAGCCAGCAGCTTCCTCTCAAGCAACTCTACACAACCTTCACCATCCTTCACCGCTCTTCACCGCTCTCCCACTCATACCTTATCAATGAAGTACACTTGGTGTGCACGAGTGATAGCAGCCAGCAGCTTCCTCTCAAGCAACTCTACACAACCTTCACCATCCTTCACCGCTCTTCACCGCTCTCCCACTCATACCTTATCAATGAAGTACACTTGGTGTGCACGAGTGATAGCAGCCAGCAGCTTCCTCTCAAGCAACTCTACACAACCTTCACCATCCTTCACCGCTCTTCACCGCTCTCCCACTCATACCTTATCAATGAAGTACACTTGGTGTGCGCGAGTGATAGCAGCCAGCAGCTTCCTCTCAAGCAACTCTACACAACCTTCACCATCCTTCACCGCTCTTCACCGCTCTCCCACTCATACCTTATCAATGAAGTACACTTGGTGTGCGCGAGTGATAGCAGCCAGCAGCTTCCTCTCAAGCAACTCTACACAACCTTCACCATCCTTCACCGCTCTTCACCGCTCTCCCACTCATACCTTATCAATGAAGTACACTTGGTGTGCGCGAGTGATAGCAGCCAGCAGCTTCCTCTCAAGCAACTCTACACAACCTTCACCATCCTTCACCGCTCTTCACCGCTCTCCCACTCATACCTTATCAATGAAGTACACTTGGTGTGCGCGAGTGATAGCAGCCAGCAGCTTCCTCTCAAGCAACTCTACACAACCTTCACCATCCTTCACCGCTCTTCACCGCTCTCCCACTCATACCTTATCAATGAAGTACACTTGGTGTGCACGAGTGATAGCAGCCAGCAGCTTCCTCTCAAGCAACTCTACACAACCTTCACCATCCTTCACCGCTCTTCACCGCTCTCCCACTCATACCTTATCAATGAAGTACACTTGGTGTGCACGAGTGATAGCAGCCAGCAGCTTCCTCTCAAGCAACTCTACACAACCTTCACCATCCTTCACCGCTCTTCACCGCTCTCCCACTCATACCTTATCAATGAAGTACACTTGGTGTGCGCGAGTGATAGCAGCCAGCAGCTTCCTCTCAAGCAACTCTACACAACCTTCACCATCCTTCACCGCTCTTCACCGCTCTCCCACTCATACCTTATCAATGAAGTACACTTGGTGTGCACGAGTGATAGCAGCCAGCAGCTTCCTCTCAAGCAACTCTACACAACCTTCACCATCCTTCACCGCTCTTCACCGCTCTCCCACTCATACCTTATCAATGAAGTACACTTGGTGTGCACGAGTGATAGCAGCCAGCAGCTTCCTCTCAAGCAACTCTACACAACCTTCACCATCCTTCACCGCTCTTCACCGCTCTCCCACTCATACCTTATCAATGAAGTACACTTGGTGTGCACGAGTGATAGCAGCCAGCAGCTTCCTCTCAAGCAACTCTACACAACCTTCACCATCCTTCACCGCTCTTCACCGCTCTCCCACTCATACCTTATCAATGAAGTACACTTGGTGTGCACGAGTGATAGCAGCCAGCAGCTTCCTCTCAAGCAACTCTACACAACCTTCACCATCCTTCACCGCTCTTCACCGCTCTCCCACTCATACCTTATCAATGAAGTACACTTGGTGTGCACGAGTGATAGCAGCCAGCAGCTTCCTCTCAAGCAACTCTACACAACCTTCACCATCCTTCACCGCTCTTCACCGCTCTCCCACTCATACCTTATCAATGAAGTACACTTGGTGTGCACGAGTGATAGCAGCCAGCAGCTTCCTCTCAAGCAACTCTACACAACCTTCACCATCCTTCACCGCTCTTCACCGCTCTCCCACTCATACCTTATCAATGAAGTACACTTGGTGTGCACGAGTGATAGCAGCCAGCAGCTTCCGCTGCAGCGCCTCAGACATGCTCATCGTCCGCATCAGCGGCCACTGCGGTCCCCCAATCACATGACTCTACACGCCCTCACCGCCCTTCACCGCTCTTCACCGCTCTTCATCCCCCCACGCTCACCTTATCGATAAAGTAGACTTGGTGTGCGCGGGTGATAGCAGCAAGCAGCTTCCGCTGCAGCGCCTCAGACATGCTCATTGTCCGCATCAGCGGCCGCTGCGGCCCCCCCCACCATCCCCCCCGCCCCTCCCCCCATCCCCACCGCTCCGCCCATCCCCCCCGCCACTCCCCCCGCGCCTCCCCCCTCCGCGCCCATCCCGCCTCCCCCTCCTCTCCGCATCTCCCACGAGGAACTCTCGTGGAAGCTTCTGCTGGTAGGCCCCTCCCCGCTCATAAGGTGGTGGGGTTGGGCGAGGTGTCTCGGGCAAGCATCCGGAGCACCCATTCCCCCTGCTCCGCCCATTCCCCCTGCTCCGCCCATTCCTCCGCCCATTCCCCCGCCTCCCCCGCCCATACCGTCCCTCCCCATCCCCCTCACACTATATTCTGATCCGTAATGCGTTGACTGGCTCATTCTCCCCGTGCTCGCCCCTTCCACGCCCCCCATTCCCCCACCCATTCCCCCGCCCATCCCCCCGTGCTGCCGCCCAGGCGAGCCCATATAAGACAACGACCTGCCGCCCGTTCCGGTGCGGAGCATCGGGTGACTGGGCGACCCGCCTCGGGAACTCCGTCCCCCGGAATGGTCAGATAAAAATTCCATCTGCCCGTCAGGAGACGGTTTCGAATACTCCACAACGCCGTAAGGAGGATGCCCCGCCCCCTGACCCCCACCCTGCTGCTGCTGCTGCCACCTGGCAGCTCCGGATTGGGTGGAACTGGGGGACCCTGGCGCGGAGGAGGTGTGGGAGAGGGTGTGCGCGGGGAGGTGCGGCTGGTGCGCGTGGTGCGGGGGGACGATTCCGCAGCGGTGCAGCAGCGCGAGCGTCTTGGGGTGGTCCGCACCGTCGTCGCGCAAATGTCCGCATTTGCGGCACCTGGGGGAGTGGGGGAATGGGGAGGGGGGGACGGGTCATAGGAGACGGGGGATGTGGGTAGGGTAAGCGGGTTGGAACTTGGAAGTGGGAACATACCTCTTTAAATTGCACCTGCACATTATTCCCCTGTTAACTTCCGTGACGCCATGCGCGCTAACTCGTTCCGACTCGCGTTCGAATGTTTGTTCAATGATAATGGTTTCCCGTCTACATTCTTTAAACGTCAACGCACGACTAAGCCATCCGACGTAAGTTCCTCCTTCTCGACGTTTCCAAACTACCCTAATATCAGAGCCCGCAATCGCTCTCAGTCGCTCTCAGTCGCCCTTAAACGCGACTAACGGTTGCTAACTGCGACCAAACGAGGCGATGTTCGAGTATCATGCGAACCTTCGCAGCACCACGCAACCTGCCACTTGCGCGAGGAGCGCACCATTGTAGGACTACCGCAATACTTCTTTTAAGCACGTTCTTCTCCTTCTCGACGTTTCCGTCCCGGGGGCCTCTACAGCTCGCCTCCAATACCTCTTATTCTCTTCACCATTCTCGGCGTCCCTCGGCGCGAAGCCACTTATTCCCTTCACCACTCACCGTCCGTTGCTTGTTTTTAGCCCAAAAGAAAGAAGTCGAAAAATAGTAAAACTGTATACTCTCTCGTTGTTTCTACGATCGAGATCGTTTATCCGCTCACCTCCATCCAGCCTCGATCCACGCCTTCAGCGCGATCCAGTCGCTCTCCGTCAAATGCGCCACGATCTCCCATGGCGGCACCTCCAAAGCTGACACCTTGGTTCGGCGCCGCGATTCCGAACCTCCGGCGAAATCTCGCGGAGGTACACCCGGCGCACCTCCGGCGCTTCCCCCTCCGCCGCCACCTCCGCCAGTCCCTCCCAAAGGGCTTCCGCCTGGTGATTGCTGCGCACGCGGAGATTGCGCTTGCGCTTGCCCCTGCGCCTGCGCGTGCGCCTTCACCTGCGGCGATTGCGCGAGGCGCTGCTGGTGCTCCGCGCGCTGCTGCTGCAGAACCTGGTTTTGCGCGACGGCGTGCGAAATGTCGGTTCCCGCCGACTGCAGCTCGTGCGGAGTCATTCCGCCCATTCCGCTCGAGCGGCGGCGGAGCTTGACGCCTCCGCGGCCATGATGCGCAGACTGCTGCGCACCCATCGCGGCGGAAGGGTGCGCCTCTTTCACGGACTACGGACAATCTTCGACAATGGAAATCGTAAAATAAGTAAATAAAAAGAGCGGAACCGGAACCAAAAATCCAACTCTGAATCGCCTGATAGCAACTGGAATAGTTGGTGAAACTGAGGCTGGATCCTTCTTAGGATGACCACGAGACTTATCGGTCACTCAAATGTCACCGGGATCGCACACGATAAGAGCTTGCCGACATTGTCGCGAATAATCGAAGGGTTCCATAGTAAATGTTCCCGAGGGATTCATTAGTGTTCTACACCGAAATCGACTGTTTCTGAGACGCCTCAAAAACCTAATTGAAGTAGTACAGTCAATACGCGACGCATGTCGACTCAAACGCGGTGGCGAGGTTAATCCATCTCTACTGCAGCTTACTCTGTTGTCCCTGCACATGTGCTAGCTTTCCTCTCTCCGACTCGAGCATGAAAACAAGGTAACGACCACCGTACCTGGCTCTACGAAACCTGCTATTCAAGCAATGCGGCGATTTTGAATGGTCGCAGAAGTGTACGTTGCAGAAGTGTAACTAGCTCTACGAAACCTGTTGCTACTATTTCTCTTGCGTGGTTCTTCCCTCGCATAGCTCTTCCCTCGTATGGTATGCATCAGGCAGGTGCAGTTTTGCCATCACTGACTGAACTGAACGCTCATCACAGGTGAAGTCCCCAGCCTCAGTTTGATAAGAGTGTAACAGTGTGGTTTAGCGCATTTCGAAACGGTGCTTGTCTGTCGCTCCGCCGCTCTCGAAGTCCCAATTTCCGAACCAGGTACTTTGGGTTAGGAATAACGATTTGAAAAGCAACAAGAGGGGAGCAAACCTTCTCGTTTGTATTTCAAGGGGTTCCCATTCTCAGCACCTCTTGAAGACCAGAGTCACGGGTCAGGTTTAGTTCGAGGTGTACTGATGCTCAACCTGTACAGGCCCCCGCAGGTTGGGAACCGATACTCCGAACTCTATACCTATACAAGGGTGCTTTCGTTAGTGTGCAGGTTAGGGATAAATCGAAACAGAACAACATTTTCTCAGAAACACAAGAGCCGAGCCCACCATTTTTCACCGAAATTCGAACGAGTCCCCTTTTCTCTGTAGCCAGGTTCGTGCAACTCTGTGGAAAAGCTGTGCTGGCAGAATCCTGCTGTTTCATTGGTTAACAACTTGTGGGAAATGCTAAACAATGTTGAGGTGGAGATGGAGGTACGAGGTGAGGAGGACCGAACAGCCCAATCCCACGACTCCAGGAAAAGGTCCATAAATATCTCACGGAGCATATGGTGAGATGGTCGTGTTTCTTGGGCAGGAAAAGTTCGCTTGTGATGAGCGACAATGCACCTGCTCAGTGTAGAGCTGACTCTTGTTTCTGTACAGTAAAAAAAAAATCTCAAAAACATTGCAACCAAAACTGTTCAAAGCGGCTTGCAGCAATTTGATGTCGTACGGCTCTGGTGCCCCCGCCCGATGACGTGAAACAAGGTCCATGAGCTGTCAACAGTGGATTCTGTTGCCCGTGCAGCAGATTCTCAGGGCCCACCCAACCACACTCTTGAAGGTGCGAGGTGTACAGTACTACAGTGCTTTCCTACTAACAAACTCAGGTTCCAGAAACCACTCAGGCGGAAATATGCTTCTATAAACGCTCACTTCTTTGGAAGCATTGTGTCCATAGTACTAGGCGAAGGCACATTGATAGGGGTGAAATCATATCTCCAATTTCCATCCCCATAAACATCCAGTAACAGCTGGGCAAGCTCTGCGTCATGCTCAGTCAATCTTTCACGAGAGTTTACGCCACCATTTACGTCTACGCGCACGCTTGCATTGAACCAGGACTGGCTACCCTCTGCCCAGTACTCTTCCTTGTTTGCCACCATGTATGCAGTAGATGGATAGAGGTGCTGATTGGGAGGGAGAGCAAGAAAGAAAGCGATTAAGGACAAAGTAAGGAAGTGCAAAACAACCAACATGGATGAACGGTCTGGAAAAACTGGTCAGTAACAACCGGCACATGTGTGGGAAACAGCAGGATTGCTAGATAGAGTGGGCAGAGACAAGCATCTGACAAATGACCAGCACAACATGGATTCGGCTGCTGCATGAGCAGGGTGGGGGTGGGATTGCAAATGTGCATAACTACCTTGGACCTGAGGAAGCACTGGGAGATTCTGTGCATGAGAGACTCATCGAACCCCACCTGTATACATACATCATGAGGAAGGGAAATCATGCATACATACATACATACATACATACATGCATACATACACACATGCATACATACATACATACATGCATACATACATACATACATACATACATACATCCACACGCCCATGCCAAAAAACGACACTAGGGTGAGTCATGCCTGAAAAGAGAAGCAGCGCCATGCACATACGGAGCAGCGCCATTAGTACATACGGAGTCCAGATGCCAATGCATTCATACGCGCGAACACTGGTGCCTCACGCATCTACCACGCACGTGAAATTCACCCCAGTGCACGCAATGCACATGAAGGGGAAATTGCTGCTGCTGCTGCTAGGGGCTGAGTTGGATCTCAGGGCATAACACCAACCTTGATGATCACGAGTGCTCACGTGTCACAGCACACGCATGCATGGCAGCAAGATTGGATGCATGCATGGCAGCATACCTCCATCACTGTATGTGCAAACTCATGTATTCCCTCGCATGGGAGCACATGCATTCATGCATGGCAGCATACCTCCATCACCGTGTGTGCAAACTCATGCACCAAAATGCTCTCCTCCCGATACCGATCTTTTGGGCAGCGCAAAAGGTTTTCTTCGCCGACCGAGCATGTAGGGATGACCATGGTGCCGCCCAGACCACGCACCTGCCATGGAGGCATGCACACGAGCACACACACACATGCACACATACACACGTGCACACATACACACATCCATGAATGGACCGCATCAAATGAAGTCAGTGCAAAGCGTGCCTCAGAAGCTATCAGGCTTCTCGACACTCAAATGCCCGCTGCCCTAGGCCGTGAGCTGCGCTGCACTGTGCACTTCCTCTCTGTTGCTCCTCTCATCCCTCTCTCTCCCTCTCCTTCCCCATCTCACCCCACAGTCCCAGTCCCTGTCGTCCATGCGAGTGCTTAAAAGAATGCATAAACTCCAGCTCTCTCCTTGTCTGTTTCTCCTCTCGTCCTCGTCTCTTCCCCCCCGCCGCTCCCCCACCTATCATCCATCTAATCCGTCTCTGTCCCATCCCTACCACAAATCTTATCCATCTCACCCTCCCCCAACTCACCTCACAGTCCCAGTCCCTGCCATCGCCTGTGCGACTCCCTCTGCAAGTGGTCCAGTATATCTCCTCTGCTCTCGTCACCTCTGCTTTCTCCTTACCTGTTGCTCCTCTGATTCCTCTCTCTCCCCCACCTCTCATCCATCTCACCCTCCCGCATCTCACCTCACAATCCGAGTCCCTGGCATCGTACGTGCGAGTCCCCTTCAGATGCAATTGTGCTCCAGTATATCCCTCGTCACTTGCTCTCTCTCTCCTTTCCTTACACGTCGGTCCTCTCATCCCTTTCCCTTCCCCACCTCGCATCCTCCCCCATCTCACCTCATGGTCCCAGTCCCTGTCATCGTCCGTTCTGCTCCCCCTCAGGTGAGAGTGCTCCAGTATGTCTGTCGTCTCTCCTTTCTCCTCTCGTGCCTCGTCTGTTGTTCCACGCCACGCCCCATAACTCACCTCACAGTCCCAGTCCCTGTCATCGTCCGTTCTGCTCCCCCTCAGGTGAGAGCGCTCCAGTATATCCCTCGTCACCTGCTCTTTCTCCTTACCCGTTGCTCCTCTCACCTCTCCCTCTCCCCCCCCACTCCCCCAGCTCACCTCACAGTCCCAGTCCCTGCCATCGTCCGTTCTGCTCCCCCTCAGGTGAGAGTGCTCCAGTACATCCGTTGTCACCTGCTCTCGACCAATCACCGCCACCTTGCACCAGTTGTCTTGTAACCGGGTTACCACATCAGGTGGGGTGAGCTGATGGGCAGGGCAAGGGAAGGGTGGGGGGGAGGGGGATGGACAGGGGGGAGGGGGGGGGGGGGGGGGGGGGGGGGGGGGGGGGGGGGTATGGGGGTGCATGGTGAGGAGATATTGGAGACGCAGCAGAGTGGGCAGGAATTGCAGGGTGCAACAATGATCAGTCTATCACCTCTGGCATGCGCCGTATGCTATCATGCAGCAGCAGCAACCATGCAGCATGCCCAGGCTCTTCCAGTGCTTTACCTGCAGCATATGCTATGCTCGACGATGTCAGCAACAGGGCGGACAGGCATTGCAGGGATCAACAATGATCAGCCTATCACCTCTGGCACGAGCGACCATACAACATGCTCCTGCTCTCCCAGTGTGCCTTACCTGCAGCATGTGTTCGAGGGTATCAGCAGCAGCACAGAGAGCCTGCATGCACACATGCCCATGCAGCATGCCAATGCTCTTCACACTCCCTTACCTGCAGCATATGCTCAATGACGTCAGCAGCAGCACAGAGAGCCTGCATGCACACATGGCCATGCGCCACCACAGGCACGCCCACTGCCGTGCCCACCACCTGCCTGTAGCACGACGGCACGCGCAAATCTCCCTCTGCCTCGTCCTCTGTCACCACTCGCTTGCCACTGCTGCCAGCACCGATGGAAGCAGCAGGAGCAGCATTACCACCGTCGGCAGCAGCATCAGCAGGAGCAGCACCATCACAACCGCGACCAGCAGCAGCAGCATCAATGTTAGCAGAGCCACGCAGCATGTGCTGTTGGGATGGTAGTGGGCGTATGAGGTACCTTTGCCGACGACCGACCGAGGAACACAGGGCGACCTGATTGGGGAACACGCATTTGAGCAACAAGCAGGCGGGTGTGAGTCAGGACTCCCTTTAAAAGACTTTGAACGGAAGACCTGAATGGGAGCCTGCGAACGGAAGATTATTATTAAGAAATTTATGCGGGACACCGACAGTTTCAATCACTGAATGCTACACAGACTTTCAACCTGTGCTACAGATATCCAATGTTACGTTACCATGACCCCCTGCGTTACAGAGTAACTGGATGCTACACCCACCTTCACTCTGTGCAACAGCTTCTGAGTGGCAGAATCACGCACGAGCCACACGTTCCCTTCAAAGGTCGACTGAGTGTTGCAGCAGGCAGGCAGTAGGGTGAAATAGGAGTGCTCCTCGCCTGTGTGCGACAGCCACAGCACGTCCACTGTTGCTTCCGTCTGTGTGTTGAGCTTAGGAGGCATGGTGTCGGGTTGGGAACGGTGAAGGTAGAAGAGGAGAGGAGGGCTGGACTGGAGCAGGCAGGCAGGGGGGGGAGGGCGAAGCAGCAGTGCTCCTCGCCTGTATGGGACAGCCACAGCACGTCCACTGCATCTTGCGACTGTGGGATGGGGTTTGATAAGACGTAGTCAGGTTGAGAACGGTGAAGGGAGCAGGCAGGCAGGAGGGCGAAGCAGCAGTGCTCCTCGCCTGTGTGCGACAGCCACAGCACGTCCACTGCTGCATGCCATGGTGAGATGGGGTCGGATGTGATGTGGTGGGATTGTGACTGGTGACGGAAGAAGCGGAGATGATGGTTGCACCAGGCAGGCGGGGGAAGGGCGAAGTAGCAGAGCTCCTCGCCTCCGCACGTCCACTGCTGCATGCCTTTGTGGGATGGGGTTGGATGTGATGTGGTGGGATTGGTCTCATGGTCCCATGCACTCCACGCTTTTGATTTACGAGGTAATGGGGACCATAATTATCAGGGAAGCAGCAGATGAGGAAAGTCATCAGCATAAAAGGCCGGACTTAGAAAAAGAATCCAATAATCGGCGGACATGAAAACTGACCTGGTTTTCGAATCTCATATACATCAGGGGCTTTAAGTGCGGGCATAAAAAGCCTGCCGGTATGAGCGGACGTGATGACTGACCTGGTTCTCGAATCTCAGATACACCGGAGGCTGCTCCTCCTCTCCCTCCTCCCTAACCTCCTTCTCCCCTTCCCCCCTGACCTCCTTCGCTCCCTCCTCCCTCGCCTCCTCATCTCCCTCCCCCCCGACTTCCTCCGCTGCTACCCGCACGGTCCCCTCCTCGTCGTCCCCGCCAGCTTGCTTGTCCGCCGCTCCTCCTAATCGCCTCGCTATTTGATTCGACCTACGAGAAGCGGCTCCTTCTAACCGCCTCGCCGCGCCATGACTTTCATTCCCCGTCCAATGCCAAGGCAAGCACCGGCATAGGGATCCGATGACACGTGGCAGCAGAGAACGCGCATAACAGCCACCCCTGGCGTCCCCGTTATTATCGTCCTCATCGCTATCGTTATCTTGAAGTGCGTGGTTCGCGCCAGCGAGACGGACGCTGACGTCATCAGAGGCTTCTAGTGAAGGTGCACGATCAGCTGTGGGGGTTAGTGGGCGGCAGAAGGGAAAACACGACGCCAGAAGACGGTCTGGGAAGGGCCGTTCTGACAATGGACGTTCCGCGACACGTGGCTCATTGTCGCGATCGCGGGACTCCATGAAGGGAAATTAATGCAATTCTCGATATTATTGTAGACAGGTAATCAAATGCCACTACTAGGCGCCATAAGCGGCGTCGTGCCCAACCTCAGGGCGTCGCTCCGCCAGCGTCAGCTTTTGCTGAGAGTATGATGTGATTGCCTGCTTGTATGGTGGGTGCACAATCGTGAGAAACCGTCACCTACGAATTCCAGGAAGGATTTTCGATCACCATCGTTGCGGCATCGCAGCGTGATGTCCATTTCAATTTCATTTTCCGTGACAGGGCTCAACACAGCTCGTCAGAACAGACCCGTGGTGTGGTGTGGACCCCTTCACCCGTGGTGCACTACCTTCTTACAACTAGAGATCTTCCCTCAGCCCAAAATGCTGTGAGAACACGCCCCTGACACTTGTTTCAATTCTCCCCCCACCTGATCTTTCCGCTTGGGCGTCACTCCCCTCTCAGACCGCGGCACAGAAAGTCTCTTTATTACGGTTCAATTCGATGCTTTGCGATTTCAAACGTTTCTTTTGCAAACTAAAACGGCTGGATGGTTTTGAGCAAAAAACCCAGAACACACCTCAGGGCGTGTCCGGAGAGTACGTCTGAATGAGGTTGAAAAAGGTTTGGAACTAATCCAGCACGGTCTATTTGAAAGACAAGATGGTCAGGTAGGGTTTTCTGCGAATACATACATTCTTGGACCCGCCCTTATTCTCTGCTGATCTGAGAGGTGGAGAAGCAGCAGGCACGCCTGTTGTCTCTGCAGCACTTGGTTTGTTGGACAGAGTAGTTTCTATTTAGGTTTAGTGCATTCATGCGTCGACTCACCGCACACGACCCCCAGAGAATGGCTTGCGCGTGCTACTAGTCGCGCGTGTTGCATCCCACGACGATCTCTAGTCGTGCAGGTCCATGACTGGCACGTGTTAGCCGCAGGTTTTTTTTCGCCAGCCGAAGCTTCGCACCTGCTGTGCTTTTCGTTCCTGGCCTCCCAAACCATGTTGACTCACGTGGGAGCAGACTAGTCGGCGGTTGTTCTCATGGAAAGACTAAGCAGATTTTTACTCCAATCAAGTATAACTGCCTGGGTCGCTTAAGCAACCACAGACCTTGACGTAGCTTATTTTTTTAGTCAATTCAAGGAAGCAACCAAAGGCCGTGACGAAGCTGCCTCTCTGGTACCACTACCGTGTTTTAGGTTTCCTGATAGTCATTACCGTTTCGCCTCCTTCCAGTGACATCAACCTCAGGCGTATGTTTCACCCCAAACCGCTGTTGATTGAGGGTTTGAGATAGCGATTGAATACCGACTAGCGACTATGGCGTCTTTCGAAGAAGCGAAGGAGATGCAGAGCAGCACGAGAGCCGGCGAGGTTCAGGCGTTCGTAGGGTCGATCGTTGTCATCGTTTCTTGCTGTGAGTGAACCATCCGTCGTTTCCGTCACCACTCTCTGAGTCTGCTCATGAGTCATTCCTTCATCTGGGTCGCCTGTTGAGCCGAATTATATTTATTTCTCCCAAACCAGTCTCTCGCTTCTCTCTCAACAGCCATCTCGTCACAATCAGATGTTCCTCTGGGGCATCTGATCGTGACGATGTTATTTTCCCCATTTTGCCCCATCTTGAGGCGAAACTTCTGGGTAGTTCCTGTTTCCATCACCCCTTGCCTGCCTGCATGCATGCGTGCGTGCAGGCATTTACCTCGTGTGGGTGTATGTTCTTCTGAGGCGTCTGTCTGCTCGTGACAGAGATCTTCTCCTCATTGTTGGGGCGAAACCTCTGAAATATTATCTGTTTCCATCACCCCTGCATTCATCCATCCATCCATCCTTGCATAAATGCATGCGTGCAGGTCTTTACCTCGTGTGGGCGTACGTTCCAAACAGTGTTCTTCTCTCCATCGGCCTGTCATACTATCCCTCAAAGTAAGTCTTTTCTGTCGTACTGTAATTCTGTATTCATCATCTTCGGTCTTGTTGTCTTTAGTGTCTTTGACTGCCTTTGTTTCGTCTCGGCCTGTGTTTCTGTCGGATTTTTTTCCCCTTTTTTCCTCTTGCATGCTGCTTTCCCACCGTACATTTCTCCTCGCTTGCATCCCGCCTGCATCCTTATCTCCTCCTCCCCCCCCTCTTCCCTCCCACCCTTCCAACCCCCACCCCCACCCCCACCCCCACCCCCCCTCCTTCCCCACTCCATCCCTAGCTCCCCCTTATACCCCTTCCCCTCCCACCCGCACTTATATTATTCTGCACGCGACTGCAGGCACTGGGCGTCTGTCATCCCAGCGTTCCTTATAGTCACCGTCGTCTGCGCCCTCCTGCTCTACTCGGGTGTTAACCGCCTTTCCGTGCAGCCCGCCTCTTCCAAATTCTCCATCCACGGTAACCACTTCAGTTCACCACCCTCCTTGTTCACAATCCACTTCCTCACTCTCCATCTCCTCGCCCCAACTCACCGTCTGTCATGGAAAAGGGTCAATGTATTCTCTCCAGGCACCTGGTTATTATGAACCATTTCTTGTTTGAATGCAGTGCTGCTTTTGCGCTACCGTTTTTGCCTATCGGTTGACAACAACTCGTTGCTTCTCTCCACGTTTCTCTCCACGCGACTCTTTGCTCCTTTCTTGCCGTACGTTCTTGCTGTTCTCCCACTCCACCTCTACTTTCCTCAAACTCTAACCTCCCCCTAATCCACGTGACCACTCCCCCTCCCCTCCCTTTCCCCCATGACTGCCTGTGGGTTCCCTCACCCCATCAGACAACTTTGCACGGATGCAGCCCCCCATGACCCACACTATCTTCCACCCGATCTCGCACCCACCTTGCCAACCCTCCCATAACCCATCATCACCACTTTCATCATCCATGGACCCACCGTCTACAGTCTCGGCTAGCGGTAGTTTATGTGGGCATAAGAATAATGAGGAAGGGGTGCTGCGGCAGTCTGGTTCCACCAGATATCATGGGATGAGACTGTACCGCTCGCCTAGTGAGCAGGACGCCATGCTGCTGAGTCGGAGAGCCCCGATTCCTCCTATTCATGACTTGCCAATTACCCTGGTTAATGATCTTCTGTATGGCTGATTTTTTTTCCATGTGAAGGTAAAATGCCGCATGAAATGTGGATATGTAGCATTGTAGAATACGGTACCCTCTTTCTGCAGTGAGAGATGCAGCACTTTGACTAGCAGAGAAGTGTAGAACAGGTCCCTAATTCAATCAACTCAGCCAACTACCCAGAAGGGCGAAGCATAAGAATGACTAAGGCCTTGGCAACAAATACTAATCTTGCATTGCAAGAAATGTACCATAAATCCCTCGTTGGCGTACTGGTAGAACATACTCAGCCATGGTCACTTTTTTATCCTCTTTCTTCATGTGAGACAGTTAGGTTCAGGCTGAGTTTTGAATATTCACCTTGAATTGAAAAATAATCAATACATACTAGGAGGACTAAGTACAAAATGGGTGAAAGAAGAAACCGTTACAATCCTAAGCGAACTTGTTAGCAGGCACAGACTTGATGGCGGTGATTTGGTTTATCTCCGTGTGCAGAATGTGCTTCTCGCCGCGAATCACGGCGTACATGGCATTGGGCGCGATGTAGTCGCAGGTGCGCTCAATGCGGAAGGGCTCGCCGGGGATCTGTGGGAGAACGCAAGGTAAAGGTGGAGGAAACCAAGGTCGAGGATATTGAGGTGCATGTACAGTGTTGATGTGAAAGCTCAAAGAATTGCAACACGAAACATCAGGACA